ATATATATATATATATATATATATATATATATCTCCTTATTCTGCTGGATTTTGTGAAAGAAACAAAAGAGAATCACAACCCCTAACCTCTTAAGTTCTACTAGTATATAGGAAAAATACAAACAAATAAAACCTATATGCACAGCCAGAGCTTCCCAAACCTCAACCAGAAGCTAGAAGTCAGGAATCCTGAGATGTAATCAGTAGAGGTAGACAGAGCAGGGCAGAACTTTGCTGAGAATGGGTCTGGGGAGAGAAGAACCTTTAAGAACAGTCAGCACACTGCCATAAAGTATTCACTGCACAATGACTAAAGAGCTCTAGTTCAAATGCTTGGTTTTTTTTTTTTTTTTTTTTTTTTCGATATGTGGGCCTCTCACTGTCTTGGCCTTTCCCATTGCCGGACGCGCAAGCTCAGTGGCCATGGCTCATGGGCCCAGCCGCTCCGCGGCACGTGGGATCCTCCCGGACCGGGGCACGAACCCGTATCCCCTGCATCGGCAGGCAGACTCTCAACCACTGCGCCACCAGGGAGGCCCTATGCTTGGATTTTTGACGGCAAGGATGGTTGGTGTCCCTAACCTCCACGTTATGCAAGGGTCAACTGTACTTTAAAACATAGGAAAGCAACTGATAAGATAGCTTTAGCCAAATCAAAGAAACTCTAAAGTCACCATATCTTTTATGTTTTCCTACCATTTATCCAGTTGTGCCTGTTTCAGATCTAGCTACTCCACTCACTGCTATTGTCATGGCTTTGGTTCACCACATGATAAAGTCAAAACTTACTAGCATCCCTGATGTTAAATGTTCAGTGTGGCTCTTCTATACTATTATCATCCTTTTTTCCTTATACTTTAACCTGCAGCCATTTAGATCTTTTTCTGTTTCCTAAAGACTCTTTGATCTTGCAGATACTGTTTTCTTTGCCTCAAATGCATCTCCCTATTATTTTTTTCCCTACCTTTTTTTATGCAGTGGATTTACACTTATATTTCAAGTTCCAAATCAAATGTTATTTCCTCTTTAAAGTCTTAAATTCCCAAGGCAGAGTTAGTGTTCCACTGTTCTTTGTCCTGATAGCATTTTGTTCATACCTCTACTGTATTTATGCAGTTGTTTTGCAGTTGTATGTCTGTTTCTTCCAGTGAACCGTGAGCTCTTAGAGAACAAGGATTATGTTATGTTCATCTTTGTATGTCTCTGATTTAGGCTTGGCTTCCCATAGGGGCTCAGTAAGTAATTGACTGTTCAATGAATAAATGAATCAATTACCAAAGTGGAGCATCCATTAACTTGCCATATTTGTTTTCCTTAAATTTTGTGTTTTCTAAATTTAGTTTATTATGTTACATTTTCATGTAGAATATTAAAAAATGTGTTTTAAGGAATTTTTTGATATTATTTTTCCCTCGAAATAGATTCTGATATCAAAGTCCTTGAAGACCAGTTTGATGAAATCATAGTCGATATAGCCACAAAACGTAAGCAGTATCCCAGAAAAATCCTTGAATGTGTCATCAAAATCATAAAAGCAAAACAAGAAATTCTGGTAAGATGATTTACCTTTAAAATAGTAAATTTTATGTAATGTCTATTTTACTACAGTAAAAAAATTAAAGTATGAGATCCAAGTGGAGGTAAATGACATTTTGTTTTCTTTGTCTTTCCTGCTTCAGTTACTACTGTTTGTCTCCTTCTAAGTCACACTAGGTTTTGAATACAGCTGATGATAAAATAAAATAGAATTTGAAGATAGAAGACTGACAGTGACTTAATTCTGAGACCAGGAGGGAAAAAGAAATGTATTTTTTAAGCCTTTTCCTTCTATCCGTCATTTGTGTTTGGCACATTATTTGTATATGTTTATGTATTTTGGAAGACCCTTTAGTTAAATCAATGATGAAGATTGACTACCTGTTTTTTTTTTTTTTTGCGATACGCGGGCCTC